TGTCTGCGTCTGAGTAGGGTACGGTGAGGTGGAAGGTGGATCGTTGTCGCCGACCTAAAATTGGCTCCTCTGACGATCGGTCCCTTTTTAACTATTTCGGTAACCGTGACATACCAACATCTTGTGTACGTCCGATAAATGATGATAAATATACGAATAAAGAACTAGTTGTCTGGAACACCAATAAGAGGGTTACGTTCATTGTCATGAACTTTTACTTTCCGATAATTCCCGTAATTTACCCTCGGGGAAAAAATTCATTGATTACACAATGACAAGTGTAATTGCGTAAAATGAAAAAAAATGACCTAATTCATTAGTCATTTCAATGACCTCAATGAAAACCTTTACTTCATTGATCATTAACCATTGAATCAATGACAAAAATTCATTGATCGTGTTGTGACAACTTTTGTGTCGTGTGTATTTTTTTTTTTTTGTACCGTTCCAGCTCGTATGTACAATTAGTACCCAACTGATATCTTGTAGACACAAGATTAAGTCAAAATAAAAAAAATATATATATTAATAATATATATATATATATTATAATTTAGTCAATCCCCTTCTAATAACTAAAAGGAGTTTTCGACAACGGTCTCGTTGCGTAGGCGAGCCGGTATTTTGTGCTATAACGAATATTGAGGATAATTTTTACCAATTTTTTCATACCCGAGTCTTGTCAGAGTAATTTATGTGTGTCGTGTGTCTTCCTAAGTGTGAACATAAAGTCCAGGTAATTTTCCTAAGTGTGAACATAAAGGCCTAGGGTGAACACAAAAAGTTACGGTGTGTGTTTACACAAAGGCAAGTATATGTACATTTATTTTAGGATTACCGTCTTTTTTCAAAAATTTACACATAAAACTAGGTGTGATAAACCAAAAGGTAAATTTTGGAGACTTGGACGTTGTGTGTTGGGCGAAAGACACGTGCCTTAGAGAAACGGTAAGCACACACCCAAAAAAACTCCCTGAGGGAACTGCCAGTCCGGCTAAGCATAAACATTAAGAAAGATAGATATCCGGTTAGTCCTTAGAGCAGGAGTTAAGATTCCGGGTTAGTGTACTCGCACGGGCGGTGCTCCCACTAAGAACGCAAGTACTGCACCGGCGAGTACATTCGTAAAACGCGTCAGGGCCTCGACTGTCCAGGTACCTCGGAACGGACGTCCGCGATTAGAGTCCTGTGCGAGTGAGAGTCATGTAGACCGTGAAGGCTTGTCCTTTACGTGCGTTTATGTTCGAAATATAATAATTTCCATGTCGAGGTGAAAGGCTCGGTAATTACCTTGACGAACACCATGTGTTTTTGCCGTCCGTTCTTGGCAAAATTCTACACCACAAAGGAACATACACGCTTTATGTCGACGATAATAATACAGACATACTTCAACACACTCACACCTCCCTCGCGTCGATGTCCGAGGGATGCGGAGTCGCGATTGGAAGCGTAGTCCGAGTGAATGCTTTGGTCACGATCTTGTCACTTGACGAGGTGCCCGCGCTGCGGGCGGGTGTGCCAGTAAATAATTGTCCTCTCGACCTAGACTAGCTTACCTGTATTTGCGCTCAACTTCATATTGGCCCTGCGCTCTCTCTCTAGTCTAGTCGCGACGCTCAAGACTGCTCTCTGCGTCGAGACGTACTAGTGGACTACGAGGCGGGAGACAAATCGGCTCGACTGGCCTGGACGCGTTTTACGCATATACTCACCAGTTACTTGCGTTCTTTAGCGATGGGTGCACCCCCGCGCGAGGTACACTAACCGAATCTGACCTCCTCTGTAGACTAACCGATATCCTACTCTATATTTAATGTTCATGTTAGCCCACTCGCAGTCCCCCTCAGACCTTTTTGGTGTTGTGCTTACGTGTCGGCTAAGGCACGTGGTCTTTCGTCAAACACAAACGCCCAAGTCTCCAAAATTTGCCTTTTTGTTTTACACACACAGTTTTTATGTATACATTTTGAAAAAGGACACAAACCACCTAAAATAAATGTACATATACTTTGCCTTGGTGTAGAAACACACCAAGGCAAAGTAACCTTTTTGTGTTCCAGCAGCTA